AATCAAAATCCCAGAGGTTTGTCCTGTCTTCTAGAATGCAAGCTCTCCAGGTCTGTCATATATATTCCCCAGAATCCAAAATCCCGTGGCATCAACCCTATGATGTGCAAGAGATGCCCACTGCCAGGCTGGCTTGTCTTTGTCCAGTTATCCCGGCCCTGCCATGATGCCACTCACTCGGGCGCGTCGGCCCATCACTTATCACAGTTAAATACAGCTATTACGTGCTGGCTTCGGCCATGCTGTTTATCTGGGACAATAATGAGTCCCCAAGGACTGGACTGCTCTCAGGTAGCTGCAGCTATTCTGGGACGCTCACAAGGGGAGAGCCCCGTGGTCAATGAACAGAGCCGCCTGCACTGGCTGATAAGCCTGGGTGTGACGCCAGATCGTGGTCTCTGCACCAAGCCCATTCCGGACAGGGCTACAGCTTGGGAAGGTTTTGCCAAAAAATGGTTCCCTTTCTCTTCCATCCACCATTGCTTTGTGAAGAGTTCTGAAATGGCTTTTATAAGCTGGAAACTATTTTAATATACAAAGTAGATGACATCTCTTTTCTTAGAGCTTGCTTGCTAATTGATGAAAGTAATTTAAAAACATCGCTTCTTGTTTCTAGCATGATTGCTTTGGGAAATAACCCATGATGAGAAGGCTGTGGGACAAACAGTAAGTTCCATCACTACTGAGCTGCCTACCCCACAGCTCTGATAAGCTAAGGCTCATAATATCTAAAAGAAAAAAAAAATTAAACCAAACATAAGGCCTTGATTTTCTTTTTTAATAATTTTCCTCCTTTAGCAATATCTCTTATTTTACTCTTTAATCAACAAAAATTCCAACCATATAAGACCCTCAACTGGGAAAACTCCATCTTTATTCTTTGTTTTACAAATTTTAGTTTTGCTTTTCTTTGTTTAGCTGGTTCCATGAGTCAAATGGGCAGAGAGACTTGTTTATTCACACAAGTGGCCACGGCTATCTCTTGCTGACCTCTAAAAGATCCTGGGAGACAAAGAACCCTAACCAGAACCCCTCCTGTGCACTGCAAAAGCCTTTATCTTCTCCCTGGACAATGGATCTTCTTTAGCCACCTCAAGTCCTTTCTAAAACCTGAGAGTTTAAGCAAAACAAATTACCCTGTCTCTGGTCCTTTTCTAAAAACAGGCAGGGATTCATGACTAACTGCACACGTTTTTACAAATGTGCTGCAGCAAGTGGCTACATCCATTTGTGAAAGAGAAAAATAAACAAAAAATTACATGATATAGCTAATGTTTTGCAAGAAATTTTGGAAGAAGAGCCTCAATCCCTATGCCCCTTGACTTTTAGGACCAAGCTCCTCCTGTTCAGTATGGGAAAGTTGCAGTGTTATCAAAGAAAAGAGTCAAATTTTAAGAAGCACTTACTTTATGTCAAGTATCGCACCAGGCACTTTTATATATTTATTTCACTTGAAAACAAGTGTATTTTATATACTGATTTATTGAAACAATAATGCTAATGAAGTATTTATCACTGTCCCCATTTTACAGATGAGGAAACTTTGCCAAGAATTTACTTGCTCAAGGTAACCAGCTCAAAAGGGGCAAATTTGAAGTCCAGCTCCTACAACCCCAAAGTCCACGCTCCCCTTGGAGTACTGCCCCCGAGTCCAGGTTTCCTCTCTCCCCTTCCACCCTCTGAGAAGCAGATGTCAAAGCTTGCAGGGGCCTTAGAGACAAGAACTCCAAGAAATTATTTGACAAGAAATAATAATTGCATTTTCATTCAAGTCCTAGCCAATACACAAACTAGCTGATGTTGGCTCATGCGCCTTCCAAAAAATCTGCCTTGGACACAAAAGTAGATGTTTATTGTACTAAGACTGAGTTTGTTATTTATTTATATAATCTGAACGTAGGCAGTCTAAGTTAGAAAAAAAAAGGAAAGAAAGAAAAGAAAGAAAAAAAAACTGAGAGAAAAAGGCAGCTTTATGTGGCAAGTAGCTATTATCTATGGATCAACAGACTTTAAGATTTTTAGGCTAGGTCTGGGAAAGAGGTCTGACACTTCATTTATTCTTCACAACCAGCCCTTTAGCAGAAAGACAGAAGGAGAAAGAGAGAGAGAAGGGCTTCATAGTTAAGGAAACTTCAAGTGAAAAACAAGAGCAAGCATACTGATTCCCAGCCGCCCCCTCCCCAACAGACAATGAGATGGAGTGTGTGGCTAATAATTGCTTTTCTCTGGCCTTTCCACCCAGATACTCAGGTACAACCTATTTCCTCTCTGAAATCAGCTGCCCAGTGTGAGGAAGCAATGCCGTAGGTGGCAAAAATATGATTCTGGTCCTTGGCACCGGCTGTGTAACTCTAGCAGCCCAGGTCATATCCCGTGTCCCACTGAGGGGAAAGGCAGAGGAGGACTCAGGTTCTAATCCTGGCTGCACCACTCTGTGACCGTGAGCATGTGCTCTGCGCGTCCCAGGCTCTGCTTATAAAAGTGGAACCAGACATCTTAGGAGGATTTCTGGAGTAGTTTCCCTAGCTTCCAAGGTTGGTAGCATGGAAGTGTTTCATGACCTCCCATGACACATTGAGGGAAGAAGTTCTGGGCTGCAGGAATTACCCCAGCAATTCTTATACAATGAGCACCTACTATATATAAGCCAGGAACCCCCTGGGCATTGTACTTCTGTTGTTTACACTGGAGCCCAATAACTCTATGAAGTGGGGCTTATTACCTTCATTTTTTTTGTATATAAGACATGTTCAGTGGTTTTGCAGGGACAGCAAACAGCAGCTAGGCTGCCAATTAGACCTCAGGACTGCCATTTACTGGCTAGCGACTCTGGGTAGGATATTTAACATCTCTGTGCCTCAGTTTCTTCATCTACAAAATGTGTTTAATAACGAAACCCCAGAGGGTTGTTGTGGGCATATAACATCTGGAACACTGCTTACATCTAAAAAGGCCGCAGGAAATATTAGTTATTACAACTGTTAAATGAGAAAGACGTAGGCACAACACAGTTATAAAACTTGTCCAAACTCACAGCTGGTAATAAGCAACACAGTCAGTTTCAGAGCCAAGCAGACCTCACTCCAGCCCCGGGCTCCTCTCCCAGGCTTTTCTAGTAAGACAGGAACTCCTTTTCCTGGGTACCGCACATGCACCACACTCTACCTGGGTTTCCTCATCTGTTCTTCCCAGCAATGTGATGAGCTAGGGACTCAGGCTCCAGGAGAGAAACCACTTCCTCAATCATCCGCTCTGCGGGGATCTGAACACAGGCCGGCCCAACCTCAAGGCATAGGTGTGTACCCCTAAACCAGACACGACCTCCCTTCTCTACCAAGAGTCCTCTTCACCACAAGGGAAAGTTTCGGAAGGCCTTTGGCCTGGGAAGTTAAAAAGATAAAAGGACATCTCCCACAGTCACCAAACTCTTTTAAAAGTACCTGCTGGCCCCCGGGGAGGGGGGGGGGGGGCTCTGACTCAGCTTCTGTGAAGATCTTTCCCGGTGTCCGACCTTGAGCAAGCTACCCAAGCCTGTGGCTGCTCTGCAGTCCAAAGACAAGAGCTTTGGGCATCACTACGGCCACTGTCCAGGCTCGGCGTCCATCCAGGGACGTCCCCTCTTGGTGAGTCACTGCCTTCCTTGAGCACCCAAAAGGTGACTGACAGCCTGCACCAGCCCTGCCCCAGCCGTGGGCGGGGGTGGGGGGTGGTCAGAAGGGTGGAGCCCTATTTCCATGACAATCTGGGGCCCTGGCCAGTATCCCGCTTGCCTGAACTTCGGGAAGTTCTGTCATCTCGAGGTCTCCTTCCGCTGTGGGCCGTGAAGCCGTTTAGGCCTACTCTGGGCTCAAAGTAAAGAGTCCATCCTCCCCGCGCATTGCCACGATGGCTCTTAAAACGTGGATGCGGCAGTGCTCACCCCCCAAAGCTGCAGCAAGAACGTCCCGCATGTTCAGAATCCACTGCTGATAATCAGCCTGTCATCAGAATGCAGGGATCGGCTTCAGCGATGCCAGTCTCTCTTGCTTCCTTTCAGTCTGCGAACAGCTGCTAAAGGAATTTCCCTCAAGCACAGACCTCCAGCCATCCCTGACGTGGCCTGAATCAGAGTGCAAGCTCCACGACCCCCTGCTCCACCACCACCTGCCCTCCTCCGGCGCCCCCCTCGCCCTCTCTGCAGCCAAGCCCTCTGCTCCAGCCGGCTGAAGGGGACAGCCCTCCCTCACGTGGCTTCTCTTCACCTGCGGCTTTTGACACCCGACTGCCTCCCCTATTCCCCCATTCCCGACTGCCAGTTCACGTCCCTTCTGGGTTTTAGAACCTAACCCCCAATTCACCTGCTGTATGGAGCCCTACCGTGGTGACTCCATTAACTACGCCTTTCCTGACCCTCTCTTCTCATTCCCGTGCCCATCCTGCCAGCCCCGAGCTGGGCACTAGTTATGACAAAGTGTGAACTGCCCGGGTCCCTGCTCTTGTCAAAGCCCACTGTCTCCATATCACGTCCATTCGCAGGTTCGGCATGAGGCTTGTAACATGACCTTGATTATTTCTTGTCTCTCTCAGATCACTGGCTCCTCAAAACAAGTCAAAGACTCCTGCCACTCCCTCTCCCACTTTTTGGCTTTTCTCTTTCTCCCCTCCCTGCCTCCCTCCCTCCATCCTTCTTTCCTTCCTTCCTTCTCTTTTTTTTTCTTCCTTCTAACTCTTAATAACAGTGTCTCCTGCATGGAGTCAGTATTCAAGACAGTTGGTTGAAAACAGATAAGTTTTACCCTCTAGGGAAATAAATGAAGACTAACTTTGAACCATAAAGAGTAAAAGGGGACTGCCTCCCTTTGTTCGAATATGATTGAGTTTATTAACTTTTGTGGATTGTGGTATATTAAGTAAAAATTAAGCATTCCAAATATAGGATCTTTAAAAAGTTATTATTCTGTGCATCACACACACACACACACACACACACACACACACAGCTGAGACAGAAAACAAGTTGATCAGAGGATCAGACAGTGAGAAGTGCGGTCAAAATCAGAACCCTGAACCAGTGACTGCTCATCTTCATTTTCAAGGTCATAAGGTTTTTCCACAAAAAGTTTTTCATAGTTTTTGTTATATTTGGGACTCACATTGCTCAAACCCTGGTGGATATGAAAATAGACATTCAGTCCCATGCTTATGATGCCATTGTATTAAATGAGAGGAATGGAGGGACCTGGATATATTTTTGGTTTGGCAAATTGTAGAACTATTTTTTTCAAACATTTGGGGTTTGGCTAAAACCAAACTTATTTTGCCAAGCACTTTGGCCTTAATTTTTAAACCCATGTGTATTTTAAAAGAAATTCAATCTATATGTTTCTGACTCATTTACACTTAACTCATGAAAATGCTGTTTGGTAAGAGCTAGTAGATGTCCAAGCTAGTTTATGAGCCCTTTTAAAGCCTTCTTTTCCCCATTCTTACCAGAAAGTTGTATTTTGCCAGCCATAAAGAGTGTGAGCCCCAGAGGCCTGTGGTCAGTTTGAAATTTATAACCTCTGAAGGTTAAATGGATTTTAAGTTTGGAAAAAGGTTCCACACCCCCCCCCACCTCCTCTTTTTCATATTAAGTATTCAAACAGGCTACTTATGATAAAGATGGGATCTTATGTCTCAGTTTCTGAAGGCTGAGGGTGAAGAGTAAAGAATTCAATCTAACCACCAATAAACTGTCTCTAAGACATGTCAGAGGAACAATATGACACTTTTAAGTTCCTATGGGCACAGATTCCAATCCAACATTCTAATGGAAAGTTTTATTAATTACTCTCAGGATAAAAAAAAAAGAGGTAGGAATCAACATAATTCAAGTTGAACATTTTACCTTTGGGAGATTTGGTCATTAAAAAAAAAAAATCAGAGACAACCAATCCAGTTCATGACTTTTTATACAGTTAAAAAATAAGCTGAATCTACTAAAAATGACATTTGAATCAAAACCAGAAAAGCAAAAAGAACGTGCATGCATGTTGCAGTGACTTCACCCTCTGTCTACTATATGCTCAGTTGATGCTCAGATACCACTCAATTATAGTATTTTAGCAGGAGAAATCTTTTGGATAAAGTACTTAAAAATGGCTTATAAATATTTAAAATAAAAGCATCTAACAAATCATAATGACAAAGTTTCACATTTAACCACATGTGCTCCAAATATCTTGAAATGACTCTAAATATGGGTTTAAAATATCAAAAGGGCTTGTTGATGGGATGCAGAACTTTGCAGAGAAACCTAAACCAGGTCATTCTTGCTCCCACAACACCCAATATGCACAATTTTTAAAGTGTGCGTGTGTAAATTTCCTTAGAAAAAGATCATGTTACAGTTCTGAATTTCCAAAACAAGAGTTGAAGGATGAAATATAGGGTTTCCCCTTCTCTCACCAAATGCAGCTCAGCCACGTTGCTTCCAGATAATTTGTTATTGTAGGTTGGCTCAAATTTAAGACAGTAACATTTTAGAAACAGTTGGAGAACTAAGCCAGCTGCAAGGAGGATATCATTACAAATTGAGACACATGTTGTATGGGAATACCATTCATTTTCAATACCAAAAACACGTCTGGGGAAATAAGCCATGCAAATGAGGGAGAGATATACTCTTTAATTGCATCTTTTGGACATGAGGTCAATGTTTCATATCAAACGAGTCCATAAACTGTGTTTCTCCCTTCTGTTCTTCTGTCACATTCTTACTTCCCTTTTAACCCAAAACAAAACATAGCTTGCTATCACAGAAAGACAACAAACCAGGGGTTCAAAGAGGGGAAATGATGAGACAACCATCGAAGCCAAGTCTCTGGATGGAATGAGGCCGGGCAGCGTGAGGCAGCTTTGATTGTCCCAGTCCTGACCCCACACCCACGTTCCCATCTCTCTATTCAGACTTGTGCGTTGGGTAAAATCGCACAGGCACATTCTTGCTGATGGCCACAGCTCGGTCCTAGGAGCTCAGAGATAAGGGATCTCAGGGGCAACTTGCCAAGGGTCCAAATTAAGAATATTTAGTACATGCAGGAGCTTTTCAAAGCACAGGAGATTTATTCCAACGTTTGTTGTTGTTGTCCTTTGCTTCTGCTCTAGTCATTTTCACTAGAATCTTTTAAATGACTCTTGAAATAATTGTGTGTGTGTGTGTGTGTGTGTGTGTTTCCCCTCCTTGCTGATGGGTTCACGTTCCCCATCCCGACCCCACCCTGTTTCTTCCTCAAGCAGAGTGCTGTGGAAATCCACAGATCTGGAGAAGAGCTCTCTGGGGTTAGTATTTAGAGCTGGCATCTGAGATGGCATTTACTCCTTTTTCTTGAGACTAAGACCATGTTAAATGATGCCAGGGCTAAATTGTTTATCTTTTAAAGCTAATTTATTTGTTTCTCTTAAATGGATTCCTTTTATGTTTGTGAGGCATTTCAAAAAAAAAAAAGTTTACACATGCAGAATGCATTGCCTTAACATGCATCCACATATATTTATTTAAACCAGCAACAAAAGAATACAAAACAACTCTGTACAGGACGGGGTGAAGGAAGACTGAACGGCGGCCACCCTCAGCCGCTGACACAATCTCTTTGACAAGAGAGACTGGAAGAGGCAGTGTATTGGCGGTGGGGGTGTTCCACACCATGAGCTAAGTGTTTCACGCTTCAGTGTATTCTGGTCCTCAAACACCTCTGCCCCCCACGATGCTTGTCTGCATGGAGGTAGGTGTAAGTGATTGAACCAGGATGCCCAGGCAGTCACTCGAGCCTGCAAGGGAGCAATTCATTGGAAACTAGACGGGGAGCTTATTTCCAGTGCCCTTCTGGGCCATGGCTTGTAAATAGCTAGCCAAATGCCTTCACCTTTCCAAGCACACTCTCTCCAGGTGAAGAAGCATGTGCTAAGGAGCTATGGGGATTGGTGGTGCTCCCAGATATGGCCACACCAGTGCTCTGGTGTTTACTGATCTACCCAATTCTCCAACTCGAGCCATTCCACTCCCTTGGCCTTAATAGCAGGGTTGATGGTTGTCCAGCGCAGGGCAGCCACTGCCTACACAGTGAAAACTCTGAAAGGCCAAGTGGTGAGAAGCATTGAGCTTGTTCCTTTCCTCGCTTCCCTTTTCTGCTTTCCCCACAGATACTCACAGGTTATAGTAACTTGACAAAAGGTCTGTGACCTTCTGCATTTTGTCACTAAGGCAATCTTACTGAGGCAAGGGCTACATTATATGGCTGTGACAGTGATTTTGCAATATTAGGTCCACAGCAAAAATTGCTAAAAATAAATTCCAAGTTTTAAGAGAAATTTACAATTCATTCAGCTTCCTCAGAGTAACAAGAAAAATTTCCGCTCAGATACTGCTTGGTGATCATATAAAATAACCCTTCAGATATGTTAGATATGTAAGATACTTTTTTTCTGAAGTCAAAATCTATGAACTGCTCCTCCCAAGAAAATGCCTCCACTCACAGGCACATAAAGCTTTCCAGAAAATTCCAGGGGGAGTGCAGCTGAAGGCTGTGCATGGAGACCAGCTTCGGCTGGGGAACCGCCACAAAGATCAGGAGGTCGGTAGATCAGGGCCACGACTTATGCCACATTGTCTGACCCCGGAGTCCTCACTAAAACATGAGCACTAAGCATTTCCCTGGCCTCACTCTAGTCACAGCCCTGTGAAGAAGGAGGGCTGCGATATATCTAAAGGAAATAAATACCCAATCACAAATGTCATTTCCTATTCCATCATAATTTGATTAAAATAATATCTAAAGTCAGATGCCTACACATTAAAACATTCTTTCAATCTCCTTGTCCTAAAAGTTAAAAGAGACCCAGCAACACTAAGCGAGATGTGTCTAGGAGCAGCCTTGACACGGTTCATCCATAAGACTCTCCTTCATGAGTCTGCAATGATCGCAGCAAGCGCTATCTCCGGTTCTCACCACTCACGTGTGTGCATGACACACACCTGGCCGTTCCTCACCGCTGGCTCTTTGAACCACCTGGACCTAGAGCTGGGCAGCCATCTGCATCCCAACAAACAGGCAGAGCTGCACCACCAGGGATGATGTAGCCAATGAATGTTTCCAGTAACTAAGTACTGCTGCTGCTGCTGCTAAGTCGCTTCAGTCGTGTCCGACTCTATGCGACCCCATAGACGGCAGCCCACCAGGCTCCCCATCCCTGGGATTCTCCAGGCAAGAACACTGGAGTGGGTTGCCATTTCCTTCTCCAATGCATGAAAGTGAAAAGTGAAAGTGAAGTTGCTCAGTCATGTCCAACTCTTAGTGATCCCATGGTCTGCAGCCTACCAGGCTCCCCCGTCCATGGGATTTTCCAGGCAAGAGTACTGGAGTGGGGTGCCATTGCCTTCTCCAACTAAGTACTAGCACATTAAAAATCTCAAGTCTGGCAGAGGATCTGAGCACATCCTATTTGTACTGATTTTCTCTTCTCAGTTGAAGGGTTTCCTCTTTTCCTCGCTTTTATGGTCGGCATCCATAGTTAAATTTCAACTGTATGGACTTGACTTTGCAGACAGCCGACTCTCTCAAACTTAGCTGGAGAAACCGAACTGGCAAAAAGCTACTTGTCACCTCCATCCTTTGGGCTTCCCTAATGAGGAGAGTCCCCTGCCCTTTTCTTGAAATAGTCCTTTCTGGGATTGTAGCTCCGTGGTCAGGCTAATAATTAAACTCTAAACTCCAAAAAGTCATAACTACAGCTCTCATCCCTTCTTCAGCTCTCTCAGAGCAAATAAAAAGTGGAAGGAACTCTTGCTGCTGGAGTTACTGGAGTATCTTGGAGTGGGGGCCAGGGACAAGATTCTCCGATTTTCTTTCTGGTCTTAGAAACACATAAAAAATTTGGGAGCCACAAAGGTGGGGAGTTCTTGGTCTTGCCACTCCTTGGGAATGGAAAAAGTGAGGGTGAAAGGGTTACTCATGGTACACATTTTTTCCATTGATTATTTTACTTAAAGAGAAGATGTCATTTCCCTGGAAAATCAAGGAGGGGGGATATTTTCTTTTGAATAACTTCAAACATTTGCAAATGGTTACTGTGAACTCCCCAGTGTACCATAAACAAGTGTAAACTGCTGAAATTCAGAAAATGTACAAATACAAACAGCTATCCCCCAAACTCCAAGGCAAAGACAAAGAAAGAGTATTCCATTTATAAATGGAATTCTTTGTGGAGAGAAGAGTCTGGGAAATGTTTATACATTGTTTTCCTTATTATTTGGGGGGATTTTATTTTCAGCTTACGGAAGCTGCAGAGCTGGTATTTGGCATCTTAAAAGTTGAAGATTAAAGGAGGTTTCCAACCTTTTAAAATCTCCCACTAAACTTAATTAGTTCTGCATCTAGGAAAATATCTGCCTATTTAAATCACTTGTAATCATATCAACGAACAGGAATGCATAAAGTCAGGTAACCAGGAACAGAAACAGTCAAAAGGAAAAAACAAAAGCCTATGATTGCCGAGAACTAGCAAAAATGATTACTTCTTTGAAGGTAACAGCAGCTGCCTGGACTACTGATTTCAAGTTACAGTCTGCTTTGAACCTATTTTAAATTATTTTTTAAAATAGTAATACCGTATGAAAACGGTGGGCATAGCAAAAAGAATGAAAACCCTGGATGGCAGTCACTGACAGGCAGTACGCTGAGAGATACTACAAGTTACCAACCAGCGCAAGGAGAATCGCTCACCTCCGCCTCGCCCACCACAACTCAGCCCGGGTTTGGTTTTGGTTTTTAATGCCTCCCCTTTGGCTTTAACTTGTCACCAAACAGTGTTCACTGTCAGGTCACAAAAGCCATGCAGCCCTTTATTTAACGGATGCATTTCCAATTTCCGTAACCACACGCATGGGCCGGGTTTCTGAAGGCATAGAAGAAAAACAGTGCCACGTGTGCAGAGAAAATCAGGAAGGGTCAGAGAATGTGAGTGAATTACAGCAGGTTGAGACTGTGCTATGAGTTGACACGCAACTACAGAGGGCAAGAGGCGATGTGATTTAGAGGAGCAGAGACGTTCTTCCCCTGTCTTAAATCACTCGCCTTGTCACCCCGCTGTAGTTGGCAAAGACTGAGAGTCTCTGGGTTTAGAGAAAAGCTGTAATTTCTTGGGGAAACCCATCATAAAAAAGAACTTTCCAATCTCAGGGGGACTGTAGGTGATTTCGTCATTGCATCTTCTGAAATTGACTGAAGCCAGGTTAATATTTTTAGTAATGACTCTGGTCCACGTACAAGACCCTTGCCTGATTCCTTACTCAGAAATATATATCACCGAAATAGCCATAATATATTTCATGCTTTTATGTTCTTTTGGCCCCATGCTACTTATGGACTAGTGACACTCTCCTTGACCTGGTCACTTCTCACTTTAATAATGGTAGTAAAAGTTTTCACCCTCCTGTTCTTTCTTTAATGTCATTTGAATGAGTGACACTAGAATGTGTTTAAAATTACAATTCCTCATGCTTTTTTGGCTTTCTAAAGGCCATCACTTTTTTTGTCCCACATCTTTGCATTACTCACTGCTTTGTCAACCAGATTAAACTATTCTGGCAGAGAAATTAGGGCCATTTTCAACTGAGGTGACTAGCAGAAGGCTGAGATTGTCTTTAGAGAACCAAACTTGCAGATGTAAAATCAAGGATTGGTGAGCTGAGTTTTAGTATTCTGCTCCTACTGACAAAGTCATCAATGAAAAAGGAAACCTCAAATTATGAGAAACCCTTCTTGCATCACCCAGCAAGGCCCCTTTCACGGGCTCTGAGCTTCTCAGGAAAACTCCTGGTTACAAGTCAGGTAGGTGTCTGGGTAAACATGCTGACTTTGAGGGACAATGGTTTGGACACATCACATCAAGTGTTCTTGTCCACATCTGTATCTCCTACTGTGAAGTAATGGGTTGGTATTCTTGTTTTTTCATTGTTCTTGCTGAAAAATACAACTGAAAATGCTAAAAACAAACAAACAAAAAACCACTAGAGAAATTGGTGGGTAGGCTTAGTTTTTATCTAGGAAATTTCCCCCAAGACAACTGAGGTGAATAAAAGAATTTCATCAAGTAGGGTAATAAAGGGACCAATTAAACTATTCTCCTACAGTGGTTTAAAGAAAATGTATTCCCTGGAGTCAGACAGCCTAAATTTGAATCTCAACTTACTAACATGGAAATCTTGGAACCTTGGGCAAGTTACCTAATTTCTACATCTTAGTATTCTCATCAGTAAAACGAAGACAACTGCCAAATGAATCCTGACCCAAAGAAATATTACTGAAAAACACTTAGAGAATGACCTGCACACACAAATATGAGCAACTGTTCTTCCTAAAAGGTCTGCTTCTCCTTGCCAGACCTCCTTCCTCCCAGTGTACATTGCCACCAGACTGTAAGTGCCTTGAGGACAGGCACTGCACCAGATTCACTTTGTGTCCCCCAACCCACCTCCCTGACCCCCGCTCCTGGAAAGAGCTGTGCACAATCTATGTGCTCAGTAAATATTCATTTCCCCTGCTTTCCTCTCCATAAACAGCTGATAAACCTCAACAGAACATTAGCCTGTTTGCTGTCCTTGTGGACAGAGGAGAGCACCCAGTCTTTGTTTGGGTCCAGCAGGCCTAAGTCGAATAACAATTCCCTCACTTACCAGCTTTGATTTGGGCAACATCTCCAAGCCTCATCTTCATCGTTGGTAAATGCAGACAATGCTTATTCCACCAGGATTGGCGGGAAGATCAAATGAGGCCACATCTGGCTACAATGGGCAGCCACACAGGCTCACTGCCCTACCCCTAACTGCAATTGTAAACTTGTTATTTATCGTTCACCTGGCATTAAGGAGGATTCCTGCCCCTGCCCCCGCCCCCCGCCCCGCCAAGGTCAGGGATGTGTACTCTCACCCACTTCAGTGCCTGTTGCTCTTTTCTGTGTCAGAGCCTCCCACTGCCTGGAGAGGTGAGCAGCCCATCAGCTGGGCTGCCGAGTCCCGAAAAGGGGAGAAGGCAAAGCTGGTCGGTGATGCTCGAGACCTGCCCTGGGGAATGCTGGCTGGTGACAAATAAAGGAAGAGATCCCAAGAACAGGAGCTGCTCCAACACCCTACCAGGCAAATGGGGCTGCATGGCCTAGGTTCAGTTGGCATAGGCATCTAAGAAGCTTAGATTTTCTTCTCATCTTGCAAATGGAATTCCCTGGTTATTGAGAACATTTGGTGAGTTGGGACATTCTGTCAATGCCTGTACCAGCTAGCTCCAGGGAGTGGCTCTGCTCACCTTTAACTCCTGCTGCTGCTGCTAAGTCGCTTCAGTCGTGTTCGACTCTGTGCAACCCCACAGACGGCAGCCCACCAGGCTCCGCCGTCCCTGGGATTCTCCAGGCAAGAACACTGGAGTGGGTTGTTATGCCTTCCTCCAGGGGATCTTCCCAACCCAGGGATCAAACCCAGGTCTCCCGCACTGCAGGTGGACTCTTTACTGTCTGAGCCACGAGGGAAGCCAAGAACACTGGAGTGGGTGGGTAGCCTGTCTCTTCTCCAGGGGATCTTCNCCCTCGGCGGCGCCCCGCGTGCCGTTCACTATGACATTGCAGGCCGCGGCGGCCTCGGGGCCCGCGGGGGCGCCCGGGCCCGGGTCGCCAGCGGCAGGCGGGCTGCAGTGGCCGTCCCTGCAGCCGCCGCAGGTCCTGCGCTCGGCGGCGCCGGGTTCGCGCTCCGCCTTGACATGCGCATGCAGCGCGCGGTGGATCACGTTGTGCAGCCGGGCCCGGTGGCCCACCGTCAGGTCGATGACGCCGTCCTGCGGGCCCTGCAGCACGCCGCCAGGGAAGCCGAGCTGGCCGCCCGCGCCCGGGGGGCTGCCGGCGCGCCGCGTCAGGTCCACCACCTCGCTCCGGCCGTGCTCCGCCGGCGCGGGCGCCAGGCTCAGGGCCTGGCCGGAGCAGCCGGGCGGCGAGTCCGCGGACTTGGACGAGCCCTGCTTGGAGTCCCGGGGGGACAGGGAGTGTCCGCCTGGCTTGCCTCCTGCCGCCGAGGAGTCGCCGGGGGCGCTCGGAATGAAGTTCTCCCCGTTGCTGGAAAACCCGTTGGGGGGCTTGGAATCATTGACATGGGGGACGGGAATGGGGATGGGGATGGGCACGGGCAGGGGTACGATCACGGGGTATGGCACGAGCAAGGTGGGGGGCGGCACCAGCGGGGCGAGCGATGGCAGCCCGAAATTCATCATCTGGGGCACGGGCATCGGGCCATTTGGCATCATGCTCACCGGCGGGAAGGGGAGACTCGGCAAGGGTGCGCCGGGAGGCGGCGGGGGCAGCAGGCCCGGGGGGTTCCCTGGCATCGTCGGGGTGCTCGGGGGGTGGATGTGGGGCGACAGCAGAGGCCGGTGCATGGGGCTGGAGGTGGGGCCTAGGTTCCTGGGGCCGCCTGGCGGGGGTCCGATGCCGGGGAGCATGGGGTTGGACAGGGGGCTGTTAGGGTTGGAGGCGTGGTGCGGCGGGCCGCGGATGAAGGGCGGGCGGAGCTGCTGCATGATCTGTTGTTCCATGAAGATGGGCAGCGGGACCGGGCCGCGGTTGGTCATCACCATGGGAGGGCTGCGAGGTGGGACTCCGAGGGGAGGCCCGATGCTCGCAGGTGGCTGGACGGAGACAGGAGGGATGTTTGGAGTCTCGCTGATGGGCATGGACTTGGGCACTGGCGTAGGGATTTTAGTGACAGAGCAGTTGGCAGTGTCAGATGGAGAGACGGTGGTGGACGCCGATGGGCCAGGGCCCTGGCTTTGGCCAGCTGCAGCCCCCGGGGAGGGGGCCTTCCTGCGAGCATCTGTTAGAGGGATATTCCAAGAGTCTGGAGTGAGCAGCTGCACCCCGGAGCCTTCTGTTTTATTTTCCATGGGAGGGTGTAATGTGCTGCACAGCCCAGCTGGAAGATTGGCCTGTGTCTCTTTGTAGAAAATGTCCATTTTGTACTGATTGAGACATTTCGCACTGCAGAACTGAAGTCTTCTTTCCCCGTCCCCAAAGTCCAGGTATTCTTTTGTGTGTCTTATGTGCTTACACCAGTCACATACCTACAACACAGTAATAAAGAAAAAAGATAAGCAAGCTCCTTTGGTGGATAGCGTTTCATGTTTTACATAGAGGTTCTTTTCAAACTTTATCGTAATTTTTCAACTAGGCGGAAGTGTTTCCTTCTAAAAGGTAAAATTCTTAAATGTTTGTAAAATGATTTCTCTTTGGAAGCCAGAATCGCTTTATAAATATTAACTCTTCAGACTAGCAATTGCCACCATCTCCTATTTAAAAAAAAGAAAAAGAAACTGTGTTGTTCCCCTTTAAGCATGACTTAAAGGTGGATCTGACAAAGAGTACATATACCTGCCCATATATTTTCCCCAGTTAAAGAGGCTCATTGTTCATGCAAATCTAAATAGTTTTGGTGAAAAGAATTCTCCCAAAAGTTCAGTGGGCTTTGAAATATAGACCCTTAAAATTCTCCTCACACAAAGTCGCTTTACACTATTGACTGTTGGATAATGCAGTTGGAAGGGGTGTGCTGTGTTAACCGATAACACATAGCACTGAACATCATTATGTCTGGCTTCCAAGGGGAAACTTGGAATTAGTCATGAAGTCTGTGTGAGGTTTAGCTATTCCCAACCTGTGATGTTGCAGCAAGCTAGAATTATTTTTTGAGCTGTTTGCCCACTCTCTCTCAGTAGTCAGAATTTTTGGTGACATTTCTTGGCAGGCAGTCTTATTTAACAACTTTTCAAACACCAGAGAACGTTTTCCAAAAGTTTTTATGGCTTTTCCCCCCTTCAAATCTACTCCTGGCAAAAGAAAGACATCACCAAATTTATTTTAAAGTTGGGCTGCAGAACTAATTAAAGGCTGAGAGCTTTTCCCAATTGGAAATCACTAGACATCAAAGTTCAAAAAATAGTCATTCTCGGCTTCAGAACCCATTACTTTGGAGAAATTATTGTGATTTCATTAACACATTAATTTTGCAACACCATCAGCTCTCACAGATGGTGAAGACATGATCTACAATTCAAATATGACTCTTGTTTGCACAAATGTCTTTCCTTCATATGGCATTTTAAACAAGAATTAATATGAGTAATCTTGCCATAGCTATAAACAGATAAACAGATGTCAAAATTTTCAATAGTTCTTTCAGTGCCTTACTTTTTTGACTGAACATTACACACACAATCTTTTTTCTTTCTTTCTTTCTTTTTTTTTTTTTTGGTCATTTCCTCAGCACTCAAGCCATACAGCAGGAGAGGAAGAATTCTGAAACACAATGCAATGGTGAGTTCATTGAATCTGAATCTCTTTTCAATAAAGCCCTGGTTCCAATATTGCTCTGAATGGAGCCCTGTTTTTGTTGAGAAGGGTGTCTGTTGTTCTGTTGCTGGTGCATGTTTTTTTAACTATGGCAAACTGATAGCATTAAAAATGATAAATTTTAGTAATGATTGGTCACATAAACAATGCAAAAACAACATATGCTGGGCATTTGATTACTCATCTCATTTAACTCTCAGCTTTCCTAGACTGTAAACAGTGGTAGCAGGCTAGTGTGTGATTGTGAGTGTACACACTCGTGGCAGATGTGTCTGTATGTGTAAATCCACTCTTTTCCTTCTCACTTTTCCCCCTGATATTGCAGGTAATATATTTGATGGTGTGAGACTGAATAACAAATACTCCTTGGCATATATTAGTTTTTTTTGTTTGGTCTCATATCAAAAAACCCTTTCAAAATGCTTGTAGCAAACAAACAAACAAACAAAAAAACAATACTAAGATACTCCTGTGTCTCATTACAGTGTTTCAAGTTTCTCCAGAATTAAGAGTTGTGTTTTTATTTTTATCACAGTTGGGATGTCTAGTTTACAAATAAGCACAGAATTGCCTCTGATGAGAAGAGACACACAGAATCTATCAGACTCTTAAAATCATCTAGATAAAGGTTAAATAAACTATTGAAAACTTGATGCTCATAAGTTATTGATTTTAAAACCTGATCATTTTTATAAAATTAATGTATAATGACATGACATTTAAATTCCAATGTGAAATAAAGCCACCAGATTCTGTTTCAACATTAGGAATCCATAGAAAGCCTAAAATGTAAATTTTTAAGCTTGAAGTGAAGGATCAACTATAGCTTCTTTAATCATGAACTAAAAGAACATTATCAATGAATTAAACTAATTAAAATAATATATTAAATTTTCTGGCATATTTCTTTTGGATCGTAGTTTTTAACCATAAGGGGAAAGAGTTTTCTGAAATCCTTAATTGGTTTTCAAATTGCCAGACTGAATTATTTGCCTCCAGAGGATTCCTATGTTTCCTCAAGCTAAATAAATATTTTCAAGTAGAGTAACAAAAAATAATCTAAATATAACTTAAATGCTCTCCCTTCACTTCCTTCACTTTCAATAATTCATTGATGAATAAGGAATGCTTGTAGATCTATCCCAATTATCCAAGGAGAGTTCTCCACCATATTTTATTTATTTCCTCATAAAAGGAATTATGGACATCAAAGTTCAAAGCAGATTCTATTTCATCAGGCTTTCCAGTTAAAGCAAAAGCCTAATGGTTACCTACTTGATTTTCTGCAGCATCCCAAAGGATTTACGTAATATTGTGACAGTTTATGACTGACTGATTTTGGGTAAGGAGTGTCAGTGTGTGTGTATCCTTGTCTTATTACATTTCAATTCTGAACACTGGTCTAAAAACACAGTAAAGCAATCTTTCTGATGAAGCGAAAAATTATTAGAGGAAAAAAATTGTCACTTAAGACATAATGAATCACGTCTGTCTTATAGGACACATCGTTTAAGATTGGGTCAATGAATTTATGGCACAAATGGCTATATCATGTGAAGCAATAAAATGCAACACATCATTCATTCTACATCTAACTAATGACACACTTCTCGTAATTAAAGATTTCATCATGAGAGCCTGAGCTGATTACTTAAGATGTCGTAGTTAGGTGAAAATATATACTGTAGATCTTTCTCTTTAATAAAATAACATTTGCATATCCATGAAATACACAGCATGTGTCTCATAAGCTATGGTTTTTCTGAATTGTGTTATAGGGTATCCTCCCTGTCTTTTTTTCCACAGACGGCTTTAATTTTTTCTTTTTAACCTTTTGAGGCATTATTTTTTTCCTCATTATGCCAAGAAGTACCAAAATTCCTTCAGATATTTTAGAAGATAAAGAGTAAGAAGTGCAGAGCTCAACTCACTGGGTTCTGGAATGATTTCCCCTAATTCCACCCGGCTTTGTTTCTGTTGGAATCTGGCCTCTTTGGTTCCACTTCTCCCCCTAACAGGTCCCAGATTGGACAAAGCTGAGGCTGAAGCTGTTTAACGATGGCAATCTGGGGACCGAACAATCAGCTAATGCGAGGCCTTTGAGTGAGACAGCTGAAATGCTTCGTATCACAAATACATAATGTATCACGTGGAAGACAAAAAGATCACAAAGGAGATAAACAAATGCGTATTCCATTCAACCCTATAACAGCAGTCCTCAAAAAGATTAAATTTACCTTCCTGGGATGTGTCCAATTCTAAACAACAGAATGAACATTTCCTTTAGTCCATTTAGAGTATTTATATTTTGGTGGCTGACTGCCAGAGTAGTACTTATAAGCTCAGTGGCCTGATGGATTCACTCCTTTCCTGTGAAATAAATGTGGCAACCTACACCGCTAAACTGCTCAAAAGACACTGCCTCAGCAAAAATATCACTTGCTCTTGATACAAGAAAACTGAAAAGCAGGACTTCTGGTTCCTATAACTCTTTCCATCTTGTATTTCCCCTGGAAAGAAAGAAAGCTATTCATGTTGGCAACTGAGCCTTTATTTTTATATAAACGTCCCAAATCAAAGCCAAAGTCTGCCATGAGGTTACCCACATGGGCACAATATATACACTCGGCTGGGCTCAGAAGAAGATTCGGTAGTGAGGGAGGGGGACAGGGCGCCTAATTAACACATTAATCAGCTGTCAGCTGTGGGAGTGAAGTTCATCCTGCAGTGGAATCCACCCACCACTGCCTTCTGAGTGGTAACTGGCATCAGGCAATATTAAGAAACTCTTGCTGAAACCTTTCTTACTAGGCAAAGACATCTGCAGCAATGGAACAGTAAAAAGACATTAGCAAATCCTTGAATACCATCAACAATTTGAAAAACAAAACAAAATCTTCGTGTGCTCCTGACTTGTCATGAATACAGCACTCAGGTAATAGATCAGACATTGTAGCTGCTTAACCAAGACTGGGGAGAAGGAAATGGCAACCTACTCCGGTATTCTTGCCTGGAGAATCCCAGGGATGGAGGAGCCTGGTGGACTGTCGTCTATGGGGTCGCACAAAGTCAGACACAACTGAAGCAACTTAGCTGTAGCTGTAACCAAGACTGGAACTTGCCATAAGAGGCTGGTTCTCTAGATCTTGGCCTGTTGAACACAGCATTGATCTTGCAGTCCAGGCCAGCTCAAAAAATCATGAGCTCACCTAGGAGTGAAGCCAAGGAGGCTCGAGAGACATGGACGGGGGTGATCCATGTTTTGAAGAGTTTGGGTCTGCTTGACCTATAGATAATCACCTCATAGCATGAATGAAGAACCTTAGACTGATCCTACCTGAATACCTGCTTTCAGCTCAACCCTACAGTCCATGGCCCCAGCATCAGCTGTTCCTTTGGATTCAGGCTCTGCCTTTATCAGGGCCCTAATTTGGTGCACCTGGGAAGCAGATTGATTTGGAATTAAAAGATGTGGGTGTAAGTTTGGGCTCCATCATTTTCCAGCAGCAGAGCCTTATGAAAATGTCAGCTTCGGTTTCTTCGTCTGTGAAATGGAGCTAATAGTAGTGATGGGTAATGCTGGTGTACTGGGCATATCAGTAACCTTTATAGAATATTCTTTCAGTTCCTAACCTGCCTCCCTCATGGTTGCTGATTTCCTAGGAACATCCCATATGTTTAAGTTCAGTTTAACTTAATGGGAGGATGTTTCTAT